TTTGTTCAAGGTCAAGTTTTAATTATAAAGGTAAGTTTGTGTGTTTAAATTTCACTTAAATGTATATGGGCGATTGTCAAATTAGTGGAACCAGAATGCTATTTTTTCAGCTCTTTTGTTTTCTAGCTTTTTTAACACATTTTTTTTTACAATTTTTTAACATATTAAATTAAGCAAACATTGCAGTATTTAAATTACTTTAAATAGTCATAGAAAACTATTTAATGTTTTCATGCTGATAATAAAAGAAGTTTTATTTTTAAAGAGTATTTAATTGTTATTGTAAATAGCTGTAAAACAACAGTAAAACAAACTGCAAAGTTGTTTAACAATATAAAGAGCTTGTGTAAAATGTAAAACAACTTTATGATGCTTTATTGCTGTTTTATACAATTTATAACCTTAATAACATAAAACATGTTTAAAATAAAATGAAGTAAGTAAATAGAATTGTTCTAATTAATAAATTAAAACCTTATAGTCATAAAAATTTAAACTTCTTATTTGCTTAAAATTAGCCATACAAATCTTTAATCTATAGACCAAGATCAAAGCTAAAAATATTAATTAGCGGGGTTTTTTTATAACTAATTATTGATCTACTACTGTTTCTTGATCTACTACTATACAAAATTTAAGTATAATTTAAGTACAATTTAAGTTTTTCATTCAAATGGTTTTTAGAATAATGTTTTCATTCAATTTTCAATTGTTTTGCCATAAAAAATAAACAAAAGAATTTGGTTTAATAAATCAAATTATATTTCCTTGAGTTTGAGAATATGCTTAAATTATTTTTTTATAAAAAATTGCTTTGAACTGAAGTAAAATAATTTATTAAGTTTAATTTTAATTTTTTATAATTTAATTTTTATTTTTTGTGTTCACTGGTTTAATGATTGCAATAGAATTTATTTATAGAAATTATTAGATCCTCATATCGCTTTAGATAAAATAAAAAAAATTGGCTTTTTATATTCTATTCTTTTATATTCTATTTGAGAATTCTAGTTATTTTTTTATATTCCTTATTTCTATTTGAGATCTATCTATTTGAGATTTCTTGTTAAAATAATTTTTAGTTAAAAGCTTATATTATGTGTTAACAACATATAAGATATAAATAGATAAATTTATATAGCTAATTTTTTTAATACTTCAGATGAATCAAAACATACCTAGTTCTAAACTGTTAAAACTTACAGAATGTCTTTCTGAAAGCTGGAAAGAATTGGCTGAAGAAATTCCTTTACCGTCTTATAAGATAACTGCCATTGATAAAGAGGAGTCGCAATTAGTAGAAAAAGCTTATCGTGTTTTGTATAGTTGGTTTCAATTGGCTCCTGATACATTTAATGAAAATAACATAAAAATGAAGTTGAAATCTATTCAACGGAATGATATAATTAATGATGTCTTTGGAGAAGGTTTGCATACAAATTTTATGTTAATAATTATTTTACTGTCATTAAGAACAGCAGCTCATGTATAGCCAAGTTTTAGTTTTCATAATATGTCTTTTTTCATTTTCTGTTACATTTGATGTTACTATTTGATTTAACTTGAACAATAAAAAAAAAATTTACTGTGAAAATACATTGATATTTGATGTATTTATGTATTGGTTCAATTAAACTAAGATTTTTTATTCTTTTATATTTACATTAATTTTTTTTAATATATTTGTAATAGATATTAAATTATTAATATGGTAGTGATGTAAGTGAAGATCCGACTAAATCCCTGGTCATTCTATGCAACTGCCTTGACTTTTATTTTTCATTATCTAGTTTAAATTGTCATTTTTAAAAATTTATCAAATCATTAAATTATTATTATTATCTCAAATTCTTTAAAATATACGCTGCAATCTACAGACTTTATTATTTATTCAAGAGCATTTAATTTCAAAGAGTTTTTTTTTCCTTTGATTTTTTTTTCCTTTGAATCAATATTATTAGTTTTTTAAAAAAAGTGGGCTAGAACCAAATAAATTTAATATTTTCATGTTAAAATATAATATAATAAGTATTTCAAAAAGATCACTTTATATTCTAAATCTTTTCTAAACACTTTATATTCTAAATCTTTTCTATGTGAACTTTTTTTCTAAGCTATTTATCACATGACGTTTTTGTTCTCCTATCAAAATGACATTTTACAACTTCTTAAATTTTTATTTAATAAAGAATTTTGGTAAACAACATCATTTATTAGAGATATTTGCTGAATTCTTAAATTTTAAGTTTGAAAATATTTATAGATTTTTACACCTAACAAGTTTACAGACACTATACAATCAAAATACTTTTGTTTTTTAAAATATCTAATTACGCAAAAATAAACATAAAAAATTATAAAAGGGATCCCCAAGTGCCAAGACAAGTTGTGTTCATATTAAAGAAAATGTTTTAAAAAATGTTCAGGCTGAATTTTTTTGATTAAAGCTAAATAATAAATGCACACCATTAATTTTGAAATTCACATTTTAGTTGAAGCTCGCTGTCTCAATTTTTTTTTGGTTCTTGGAATCTGTATAATGTTAACCACAATCTGCAGACTTGATAATTTATTCCATTTGTGTTTAATTCATAACAGTTTCGGTATATTATATCATCGCAAATTTTTTAGATAGTATTTTTTTGTTGTTGCTTTTCAAGGATATAAGTATTTTTTCTACTACAATCAGAAAATCAAATATTTGTATAATTTTTTATTAGATCACAAAAAATATTTGTGATTAAGTAGAAAATAATACAAATATATATATATATATATATATATATATATATATATATATATATATATATATATATATATATATATATATATATTATATATATATATATATATATATATATATATATATTTAAATTTATAATTTGTTTTTACTTGCTTTATTATTACTTTGTTTTAGAGGCCAGCCAAAATTATGACACAATTATTTATATTTTGTGATTATCAGAGTTTACAGGCAGAGGAAAAATAAAGGCAGTATGATATGGTAGTGAAAGAGTTAAACCATAACTTATGGTTTAACTCTTTCACTACCTCAAGCCTTTGGTAGCGGCTTTCGAGTATGTTTCACAATTTATCATGTTTTGGACATAAATTTTCATTTTAAATACATAATTTGTTTGCTCTGAAAGTTTAATTAATTCTCTACATAATCAAGAAAAAATAAGAGCTATATTGAGTTATTATAAAAAGAATTAACACTTGACAAAGTTGAAAAATATTGAATAATCCTTCATAAAAAAAATTTTCTTTAAAGTTAGTTATAAAATAAAACAGCGTTGACACTGTAAAATTCAACTTGTAGAAGTGTTAAGTATTTAGTTAAGTAATTATCAAAGTCTTTTAAATAAAAAATATTTTTTATATTCATTAAATGAATTTTGTTTTGGACTTAGTGTTTTAATTACTATTTATAAAAACAATTGTTTTAATGATGCATGTTAAAAACTTATTTAATTAAAAAGTACTTTTGTTTAACTTACTATTGATATAAAGTTAATTATGCTTTTAAAGAGATTTACTATTCAAATTTTAATTAATTTCCAATGTTATGCCATTCAATTTTTTTTTTTTAATGTGCGTTAGCTACAAAAAGATTTTTTTTCGGCTGCTAGCGAACGAGTTAATGTGACTCTTTGTTTTTATATTTATATTTTAACTATTTTTACTATATTTTAATACAAGTATTTGTTTTAACTTTAGTTTGATTGTATGATTATTAGTAAAATAATTTGTTTAATATTTATTTTCTACTTAATTCAGTTTGTATATTTTATTTAAGTCTCTCTTAAAAGTTTTGATGAAAGTTTTTTTAAACCATAAATTTAAAACTTAAACACATCAGCCCATGTTTGCAGTTATTATTGGTCCATCTCCTGTGTCGTTTTCTCCACTTAAGCAATTTTGTTATTTTTATAATTTTTATCAAAACTTTTAAATCAAAGTATTTTTATTTTTTTAAATCATCTACAAAATAAAAAATAGTATAAATAAAAAAAGCATATTTTAAAAATTAATGTCATTTATCATCAATAATTATGAACTGTAGCGCAGCTTTGAAAATTAAAACATATTTTTATATACACATTTATTAACAAGTTAAAGTCTAACAATTTTCAATAGTTTTCAATTGTATGTCTATATTGAACAAACACAAAGCATTGTGAAAAATATCTAATATAAAAAAAAAAAAATTATGATATTATAAAAGATGTAACATAGTAAATTTTAAATAACTAAAATTTACCAAGTTAAAATTATACTTTAAAAGTAGACAAAGTAATCTTATGATAGTTGGTAGAGTACCAAAGTAGAACTAAAGAAATAAAATAACAAATATATTGAAAATGCTTGTAGTACATGTAGCGCAGCTTTGAAAATTAAAACATATTTTTATATACACATTTATAAACAAATTAAAGTCTAATAATTTTCAATAGTTTTCAATTGTATGTCTATATTGAACAAACACGTTATTTGATTAATCTTAAAAAAATAGTCCAATTAATAAAAGGAAAATAAATACACCACATGTATTACCTGGAAAGCAATTTATTTATAAATAATAACAAAACAAAATGTACAATGAAAAGTTTTACTTATAAAAAAAAATTAAGTTCAACATTCTCAAGCTCAAGTTAAACATGTAAAATAACTCTACCATCATGAGATAATAAAGGTCAAAAAAAAAAAACAAAAAAAAAAAACAGTAAACTGTTTATTTTCATTAAAAATAAGAGCCTTCTAATTAAAAGCATTAATGTTTTCATGAACAGATATAGTTGTATCAACAAAGAACATACACAAAATTTATTTTTAATCAATTTAGTAATTATTGTTGAATATTATGAAAATTGCAATTTAGATTTTGTGAAAACTGAAAATTATTCACAAATCTTAACTGACTCTAAAATATTATTTTGACATGGAGAATCATGAACACCGTCACAGCAGCAAATCAGTATAATATTTTGCATGTTCTGCTGACTAAAATTTTAATGATGGTTAGTGTAGAAACAGAATGTACATCTTTTCAACAAAAATTTTTAATTCACTTAACTTAATGTTAAAAAAAAAAGAAGCAAAATTTAAAACTGAAAAAAAGCAAATGTAATTTTTTTAAGAAGTAAATTTAAAAGATTCTTTTAAAGTAAATTATACTTTATAAAAAACATATTGAAAAATATATGCTATTTATAAATATAAATATGTTTAATAATTAGATTCTAATATATTTCAAGATATACAAAATATCTTATAATGAAAAGATATACAAAATATTGATAATAAGAAGATTCTAATATATTTCAAGATATACAAAAAACTTACCACATGCACATCTACAATCCCTTGTGCATTATCAGTTAATAGCTTTTGAGACTCATACTGTAACAGTATTTTCATGGTTATTTTAATTCTGTCATTGCTGCGCATTCAGTTTAGAATCTTTAATGGGGGCGTGGTTAAAAGGCAATAAAACTTTAAATTTCTTTTTTACCTTAATATTAGGTAATTTTAACTTTTATTATTTTCATAAATAATAAATTTAATAAAACGATTTATTTCAAATAAAAAATTATAAAATTAATGAAGTTCAAATATTATTACTATATTATTAGTAATAATAAAGTAATAATTTAGTAATATATTCAGTGGCAATATTTGGTAATGTTTTTAAACAAATTTGACAATTAAGTTGAACTGAAACATTAACTTTTATTTTAATAAACTTAAATATATTTTTTTAATCAGAACTAAATTATATAATTTATATTATATATATATATATATATATATATATATATATATATATATATATATATATATATATATATATATATATATATATATATATATATATATATTATAAATTTATATATAGTATAAATTTATATATAGTATAAATTTATATATATTATAAATTTATATATATATATATATATATATATATAAATTTATATATATATATATATATATATAAATTTATATATATATATATATATATATATATATATATATATTTTATCAAGATAAAATTATATATTTTTAATAAATTAGTTTTAATTTAAATCATATATTTCATATATATCATCATATATCAGAATTAAATTATTTTATTATAATCTTTGATTCAACCTTGAAGTATTAGCATTTTTCAAGCGAATAAATCAATCATTGCAAAAAAAAGCTTAAACTAGATATCATAAGATAAAGATAAAATAAAATTTAATTTTTTTTTTTTATTGTTTTATTTTTTATTATTAAATATAAATTTAAGTAATTTTTTTTTTTTTTTGCAATCAAAAGTTGTATAAATGTTTTTGTGCTCACAAGACAATAAATATAAGATTTCTTTCTTTTGTTTTGTTTTTGTTTTTTTTACGTTTCTTTGAATAACTTCATATACCAACTATAATTAATCATGTTTCCTGTTGCTAAATATTTTAATTAAATAATTAGCTTAACAGAGATTATTTTTTGTAGTTTTTAATTTTATTTGAGTTTTTTTTTCATTAGTAAATAGTGTTTAAATCTAACATAATTGTCATTCAAACTTTTGTTACAAAATTTTTGCATAATTGTCATTCAAAAGTTTATGTGGTTTTTTATAAATTTTATTAATTACTTCTTTTATCTTACCGCATATAAAAAAACTTAAAGTTAAAAAGTGATAAAAAGTCTCAATGGAAATCGCTCTAGGTGTATGTAAAATTCTGTCAGCTTTACGATTTAAAACAAGGCCTGCCAAGTAATGCATGTGACTAATGAAGTCTTTGCAAAGCCATGAGTTAAAAAAACTTTTAAACTCTGCACTTTATCAACAGGAAAAGTTGCATTTATTTTTATATATATTAGAGTTCTTAACTGCAACAATTTTTAAGGTAAGTAGACAATACTTTTTAAGGTATATTAAGTTCTAAAATTCAACAATCTGCTTATATATTGCCTATATATTGCAGACAAGTGTAATTGATTAGAAAACTTTGTAAGACCATGTGTGTTATTGAAAAATACTACATTATCAACATTAAAATAAAATCAACATTTGTTTACAACTTGCCTGACCTGTCATCATTTAATCTAACTTAGCTCTGGTTGGTTCGTTGTTATTAAGTATTACTGTGGTTAAAATAAATACTGGCTTCTATCTAATTTGGATTCCCACTTTTTTAGGTCTGATTTCAGTAATTTACAATCCTACACATTAGTATAAGTAAAATGTTTAAATGTTTTTCTATGTATTTTGATGTGTTTTACTTAGTATAAAATTAGCATTCATCATAGGTTTTTTTATTGTCAATTGGTCTATGTGCAGTGTTAACTTTTAAAATTACACTTTTTGTGATTTTATGATTTTGTTGTTTTTCTAAATTAAATTACATTTTTTTTGTGATAATTGTTATTCCAATAGTCTAAAAAGTCAAATTAAGCTAGACATTTTGTTTTTAGTTGATGATCGACTTATGAAACCTAAAGAAACCAGTAAGTTGTTTATTATTTAAACAAAATAGTTTTATTTGGGCCATGTTAAATATATATGTTATGTTATGTTAAATATATATGTTATGTTATGTTAAATATATACTATATAAAAAGTTTAAAAAATAATCGTTTCCTTTAATAAAAACAGTTTTTTCAAATAAAAGAGGTTAGACGTATAACTATCAAGTTTTGTCTCTTTTGGTTTATGTTTAAATAAATGCCTAATATTACTAAAAAACTATTGTTTCGACTATAATGCGTACAATATATTATTTATAGTTATTTATATATAATAATTGACTATTACAATTTATTAATCACCTATTTAATAAAAAAAAAGTCTCACAATTTTCTAAGATGTTAAAATAGTTATTTGTTTAAAATTAAAAAGTACCAAAATGAAAAGATTAACAGTTGGGAATAAACTTGATTTTTTTTCAAGTTTAAATTGAAAATGAATAAAAGAACTTTACGGGAATATAGATGGGGATGTTGTTTAAAAAAATTTGTTATATTCAAAAATAAGTGTGGAATATCTAGAGTTTTTTAGAAATAAGTTTGAGGTTCCTAAATGAAAAAGGGAAAACAATTAAAAAAAAATTTAAAACACAATTTTGTGCTGCTTGTATTGAAAGTGCACTGAGAAATGAGAATGAGGAAATAAATTCACTGTTAATTGGGTTTATAGAGACTCAGTTGTTTGATTTTCAAACTAAGAATCTTGAGTTTCCTGAAAAGTTTGAAACTAATCAAGTTTCAGATTTTCCACAGATTATTGAACAAAACGAAAAAAAGTCACTAAAGTGTTCAAAAAGTTTTCTAGTTAAATTTAAAATAAAAATTATTTTCAGGGCAAGGTATTATTGATGCTTATGTACACAAAAAAATATTATACCCACTGGATAAAGATGTTGTGGAGAGGATTTGAATGAAGTTAGATTATTAAACAATGATGCTTTAAATCAGCTGGTTTTTGTTAAAAAGAATGTGAAACTAAATGCTTCAGAAGTTAAATCTTTATTAGAGACGTTTCGATATTGCGCATAGTATTTTATTTTCAAAGTTTTGTGACATATCAAAACTACCTGAATCTATTTGTTAAAGAACTACTGGATTCAATAGACAACAATTTGAAGAACTAAGCAGAGATTTGATTTCACTCAGAACTATTTTCACGAGTAGTAGATCTAAATCTCAAGTTTAAGCTGTTTTGGCTAAAAACTAGCCTTGGTCATACACAATCGCTGATTATTTTGGCATTGACTCTCATTTTGAAGTATCCTGATATTTTGCAACAAGTTAGAATTGCTTTTGTCAATGATTTCATCCTTAATAACTTAGGAGCAGGTCATTTAACAAGAGGTGAATGATTAGCAAATAACAGTGTTAGTGTTCAATCAATAGGGAAATAGAAAGTTTTTTCTATTGTTAGATCTCGTCATTCTGGTTCTATAGAGTATAAAGTGTGCAATATTTACCTAATACTGAAACTGGAATCGAAAGAAGGTACTGTATTTGTTAGTCCGGCATGAAAACCTTAGGTTGCTGCGCACATATCGCTATTGTAATTTATTATTTAGCGTGTGAAAAATACTTAGAGATGTTTCCTAATCCAGCTGAGTTACAAATTTTTTTTTTTAATAATAGCACTTAACCAGAAACTGTTGATACAAATTCAAGCGTAAAAAAAAAAGAAAGTCTAAAATTAAATTTTAGGCTTCTTTTTTTTAAAAAGAAGCCTAAAATTAATTTAATTTTTTTTTTCTGAGTCATTTGATGATCATTCAATTGAAGATACAGATAAATCTATGAAGAATAAGCGTTTACTGTCTAGTATACAGGATGAAGTCAACCCAATGAAATTAAAGTTTAACAAAAAAAAAAGTGAAAACTCGTGGTTTTTTAGTAAAATTCCTAAATGGGGAGGAAAGCTTATGAAATGGAATTTTAAAAAGTCGGTGAAGCTATTAAACACATGTAAAATGGATTATTTTTTACTCGCACTTTCGACTTCAAACAAGCTGTCTAAGAACATATTGATTAATTTATAATACTCTGATCTCAAAGAAAATATTATTTTTATAATAGGGTTTATTGATTCCAATGCTTGGGATAAAACAAAAAGTGTTTGGCTCTTAAACGTTTGCAAGCTTTATGTTTCTCAAGACAAAAATGGAAATCTCTGTAAATTTAAATGGAAGCACATTTTAAAGTTTAAAAAAGATATTCATAACAATTCTTTGCACAAAAGAAAAAATAATCATTTGTTTCAAAAATTGATAATTTTTTTTTCATTTAAAAACGAAATAAAAAATAAATACTTATATAAATATAAAAAAATATATTTTATTTTAATGTTATTATAAAAAATCATTTAAAGTGGTTTGTTACTTATTTAAATGTGCTACTTTATTTAAATGCGTTACTTTATTTAAATGCGTTATAAAAACATAAGTAAAGTTCTAAGTTATTTAACTCAAACACCTTTCAAAAAAGTTGGTCTTTTTTTTTCTTCTTAACAAAAACTTTATCTATTAATATATTAAGTTTATTACAGGGAACTTTGCTGTTTAAGTTGTTGCTTATAAAAATTATTAAAAAAAAAATTTTTTTTAATTTTTCTTTTTTTAATTTACTTATAAAAAATATATTAATTAATTTTTAAATATAATAATTACTTTTTAAATATAATAATTAATTTTTATTTTACTTATCAAAACAAGTAAATATATATATATATATATATATATATATATATATATATATATATATATATATATATATATATATATATATATATATACATATATATATATATATATATATATATATATATATATATATATATATATATATATATATATATATATATATATATATATATATATATATATATATATATATATATATATAATAGTTTATTTTTATTTTACTTATAAAAAAATCTATAAATAAATATAAATAAAAATTTATAAAACTTTTAATGATACTTGAATTAAAATGATAAGCTACATTATTTAAAAGCGTTTTGCTAATACAAAAACATTAGCAAAGATAAAACCAATTTTTTCAACGCATTTGTTTAAACCGTGGTTAAATCAACAAAACATAATATTATTTGCGTGCTCATATAAAGACTTGAAATTGTACGCCTTCCTGGCCAAACCTATATATATATTTATACATATAGGTTTATATATATATGTATATGTCTTTTACAAAAAATTTTAAGTTTTATTTCTTCTTCTTGCTACAAATGTGGACTTGTTTGCTGTTTGATTGATCGTACATTTAAAATTAATAATACTTGAGTTGGTTTTGAATAAGATATTAAGAATCTATCATTACTTTACAAAATAATAAATTTCTACAAAAAATTGTTGACTCTGAAAATAAATCCTATATTGATAAGAAAATGAATCCATCTGTTTCTAACATTGTTAATAGCCTAAATATAAAACACTTTAGGCTTCCATACATTAGAATGTACTCTAATTATATTAAAATGAAAATTTCAAAAATTGTTCATAAATGTTGCAAGGTTGTTCTAATAAAATTTATTTTCACTTCTAATAAAATACAAGATTGTTATTGCTTAATAGAGTCACTTCCTAAATTGCTTAAATCTCGTGTTGTCTATAAATTTTCTTGTGCTGGTTGTAATGCTAGTTATATTGGAGAAACCTCCAGACATTTGGCAACTAGAATAAATGAGCACCTTAAAAGTGATAAACAATCTCATATATTTAAACACTTAAATTTATCTGTTAATTGCAAAAATCTGGCTAACTGTGATTTTTTTGAGATTTTATATAATGCCCCAACCATACACAAATTAAAGATAAAAGAAGCCTTCCATATTAAATGGGAAAGTCCCTCACTTAATAAACAAACTTCACAATATGCTATAAACTTATCTATTTAATTTTTCTGTCTGTTTATCATTATTATTAGTTTTTTTTTTTGACAGTTAGTTATTTTGATTGGTTATTTACCGAGTTATTTTCTAATAAATATATTGGTTCACTAAGTAAAATTTTTGTCCGTTATTATTTCTCTGGAAAGACTGTATTTTTTAAAATTTATTTCAGAGTTTTATGATTGTAAAATAATCTTTTGAAAACGTAAATAAAATTTTACGAAATATGTCAAGAATAAAAAACATGTTATTTTTAAGAAATGAATTTTTTCAGGGTGAGGGAGGTCGTTTTTAAAAAAAAAGGCAGTTAAAAAACACCAAACAAATATCTTACTAAATTTACTTAAAAAAATTTTAGTGTAACATAGCTATGTTTGTGTAATTAATGTTTACATAAACAAAGCTATTGTTCTCAGAATATTTTTTTCTATTTTTATACTGCATAGGCGTATAAGCAGGCTCCTTGTTGGAAAATTGGCATCGATACAAAGATTAATAATACTTTGATAAATGGTTTAAATTTTTATTTAAAAAATAAAATTTTTTCATACAATTTTTTGGATGCAAAGTAAAAAAGAAAAATAATTTTGAGACTTGTTTATAATCAACAATTTCATTGTAGTGGATATTCATGATGGCTAAAGAACCAAGTCTATCTGCATACTGGCTCTCAACCATGTTCCTAGTGTACATTTGATTTTTAGAAGCTCAAAGAGAAAACTCCTGGAAAGCAGTTATCTCTTCACTGCAAATTATCAAGGGAACCAAACATTAAACTTTTTTCTTCAACATTTTTCCGTAGATGGTTCAAATCGTTGATTGTTTCTTGAATGTTACTGTATGCATACACAATATCAGTTGTGCGCCCTTGTAACCTCTCTGTTATATACAACAACGGGTGAAGTAAGCGGTACAAACTTATAGTACCAAATATGATTTCGACCTTAGTGAGTGCATTACGGAGTGAGTTGGCCTCCCTTTTTGTTTGTGCATCCCAATCCATACTAAACTCTATATTGAACTGCTCTATACTAGAGTGTATTCCTGAAATTATCTCTAATGCCTCTGCCATAAATGGTAT